TATCCATTAAAATGGTTTAATTACTTCCTGAACACTAGACAGTTAGATAATTAGAAGGCAGCATTCAGACCAAAAATTTAAGCCACCCTATTAAATCAGGGAAAACTGTCTGATCAGGAAGCTAATTAGGAATCAACTGTAGTGGCTCTTACTGGAAATAGTTAGTTTAGGGCTTCAAAAGATCCTGCTTCTCTCTCCCAGAGGCCCCTGTGTCCTCCATCATCATCGAGGCTTTTTAGTCTCCTGAAACTGTTAGCTGCCCAAGCCTCAACTGTACCTCCTGTCCTCAGGGGCTTATGATCGAAGGGAAAGAGCATAACAGTGTTCAAACAAGGCTTGTGGAGTAAATGAACAAATGAAGGGTGCAAAGGCATGTATTCAAAAGGTTGAAAGAAGTGATGAGAGTTGGCACATTGGGAGAGAATGAGAGCAAGGCTCTGGGTAAAGAGCAAGCCTCCAGTCCAGAATCAGGCAGGCTGATCGAGGGGTCCACAGTGGTCTACTGAAGATTTATGAACTCCCTAAAATTACAAGGACAGTTTGTGTGTTTGGTTTTTCTTTTTCCAGGAAGATGGTCCTTAGCTTCCATGAGATCCTCAAAGGTGTACATACTCAACACAGTAGGATCTACTGGGCTACAGAGACTGTCTCTCCTTCAGTGAACCCTTGAAGACCTGTTATACAAAGTGCAAAAGCAGGAGTCATTGGAACCTGGAGACAAGAGTGACAGTGGGTAGCAGGCTTGCCTCCTAAGATCACAGTGTGTTGGAGGTTGGAGAGGCTTTGAGGTGTGCTCCTCCAGTCTCTTTTCTTCACATCAGGAGGCTGGAGTGACTCAGTACTGTTTGCTCTTGTGTGTAAGTGCTTAACCGCAGGGGCCAGAGCAGCCACCTCTAGATTTACAATTGCTGTAATTTCCATTGCACCTCATCCCTAATCATCATCATCCCTCACTCACCATCACAGGTCCCAACCTCCAAGACCACCCTCACAATATGGACCATCATCCCTTTCCTGTTTTGCTCCCACCTTAACCGGTCCCATCTTCCCAGCCCTTCTATTGTGCCCTCTGGACCTCATGGTCCATCATTGGCAGCCCTTCTCTGAGTATAACTTTCATCTTCCCTTATTGCAACATAACTGTCTCCTGAAGACATTATTTCTTGCATGACTGTCTCAAGTGGTGGCTGCTTTTCCTATCATGCAGTATTCTGTGAGGTCTGGAGGTGGGATCCCCTTCTTGATGTTGGCTGCTGACTGCCTACTCACATTCCTTGATGGACCTGACTCATACACTCCCTCCCACCAGTCTTGACTTAAGAATCTTTATAGATCAGTGGTTCTCAGCAGAGGCGGTACCATCTCCTAGTGGGAATTTTGGAAACATATGAGGTTTTCAAATGTAGTTGTGCCCAGAGGTTTTCAAATGTAGAAAATCAGCATTTATATTTAAATTTATATAGTCTTGTTATAAATGATAAATGATTTCCCATTTGTTTGCTCCCTCCCTTTATTTGTGTGTGTGTGTGTGTTTATATATATATATATATATATATATATCTCAACCATAGTGACTTATCTCATGAACCTCATTTCAGGATTAAAAAGGGGATATTAAAATATATTTGTTATAAAAAGAGGACATTTGATCTGATAGCACTGAGATGCAGAAAATATGTCCAACTTTTCATTACTTCAAAATAATTTTCCTCCCACTCACCTCAGCCCCACTCAAATGGTCTAGACCAGTGTTTCCCAACCTTCTCTCATGATGAGAATCACCTGGTGGAGTTGTTAAAACACAGATTTCTGAATCCCAACTAAGAAGTGCTAAACTAGAATTTTTGGGAACATATAGGTAAAATTGCATACCTAACTTAGTGCTCTGTATATAAAATCTGTCTTAGAGCACTAGTTAAGTATACAATTTTGTGTCTTCGCTTCTCTCCTATCCAGGGTAATAACTACTCCATTGCAAACATCCAGAATTTTCACCTCCTCACCTGCCTTACTTTCCTGGAGAAATAGTCAACACTGATTACATCCAGCTTTCTTCTTATTCCACAAATGCTCCTAGCAAGCAGTTGAAGGTGTAGGAAAAAAAAATCACATAACCAATGACTAGACTCATTTCAAACTTATGGCCACAAATTTCAAATGGGCACCCAACACCATCAGATAACTCTGCCACATCTCCCTTGTAAACTCACTCTCCCACTTTCCAAGATAACTATTTCTCACTTTCTATTTCTCCACAAATGGTCAGCACTTTCTTCCTTATTCCTTCCCCCTTAACTGATGACTTCATGGATGAAAAAGATGCACTTTCACTTCTATCATCTTACCTTCAAGATGCCCACCAAGCCACTGGTCACTCCTCATTTCACTGACCTCTCAACAACATTTTCAAGAGTTATCACACTCTCTTTCCTTAAATATATATTTCTCTAGACATCTGGGTCTCTACTTGCTGGTCTTGCTTCTACACTTATTGCTCATTCAGAGCCTCCTTTGCTGATTTCACCTCCACCAAATCACCACCAAACCTCTATACATCAGAAGCCACAGAGAGCCTCTGTCATTGGCTCTCTTCACTTGTTTACCATCTCTCCTCAGAAGATCTGGGCCATTCCTAAGGCTTCACCTTCTACCTCTGCACTGATGACTGCTATCTCCTGGCCAGACCCCTCCCTAAGCTTCAGACTTATATGTTCAACTTCCATGCTGTTCCTTCCAGTGAGATTTCCATCAGATATTTTAAATGTACCATGAATAAAATACTAGTATAACCATCACTGTGGCTATCTAATGGCCCCCAAAGACATACAGGTCATAATCCCCAGGACCTATTAATATTGCCTTATTATGATAAAAGGGATTCTGCAGATGTGTTTATTAAGAATCTTGACATGGGGCAATTATCCTGATGATTCAGGTGAGCCCAATATAGGAATCAGTGTTCTTATGAGAGGAAGGCAGAGGGAGGCTTGAAAACAAAGGAATAGTAGGAGATGTGACAATGGAACAGAGGTGGACTGATGCAAGGAGGAAGCAAGGTGACTTCTAGATGCTGAAAAAGGCATGGACATGGATTCTGCACTCAAAGCCACCAGAAAGAACCAGCCTTGTTGACACCTTCAGATCAGCCTAGCAAGACTGATTTTAGACTTCTGATCTCCAGACCTATAGCAGAATATATTTGGGTTAATTTTAGCCACTAAATGTGTGGTCATTTGTTACAACAGTCGTAAGAAACTAATACAGCCACTGCCGCCACCACTCAAATCCACATCCCCTACCCTTGTGCTTGTCACCTCTTGATAAATGGCACCACTCCTAACAGCTGAGGCCAAAACCTTCCAGTTGTTCAGATTTTTCTCTTGATCCGCACCACACCTGTCAGCTCTACTCCCAGCATACATCCTGATTCCAATGGTTCTCACTGTCTCCACTGCTATCACCCTGGTCTAGGCCACCATCATTTTCTCTTGTGTTCTGCTCCTACTCTTGTCCTCCTTAGTTTATTGCTTCATAGGAGCCAGAATGAACTTTCTGGAGGGCAAATCAGATCACATTATCCCTCCTACTAAACCCTTCAATGGTTATCCATTATATCAGGTTAAAATTCAAGTTCCTTGTCATGGCCTACAAGGCCCTATCATTGATTGGCCTCTACACTTATTTCCCTGAACTTCCCCACTCATTCACCGCATCCTGGCCACACTGACCTCTTTTCTGACCCTTTGCATTCATTTCCAGCCCCAGCCTTTGCACTTGCAGTTCCTACCACTGAATGCTCTCCTTTAGGCCTTTGCATGGTCTCAATTCAAATATCATCTCCCACCACTTCCCTGCTAAACAAGACCTTTTAGCACCTGCAGCCAGTGCCTATTTAACCCTACTTTACATTCCTCATAGCATTTTCTCAGTATCTGAAATAGTCCTACTGGCTTGTTTACATAACTGTTATGTGTTTCTCCACTAGAATGAATGTAAGCTCTGAGATCAGGATTCCTTCTGTCTCGCTCACTGCAGTATCTCTAGTACTTGGCACACAGTTGGTACACAATTAATATTTATTTGCCTGATTGTTAGTGGAATTTTAGACATCATTCAGCAGGTATGGTGTGACCATGGGTTTTTTTTTCATGGTGTCTTTAAAAGTATAGGATTCATTCAACATCAGCTAAGTATGGGGTGCCATGGGTACCTAATAGAGGGAGGAAAAAATGCAGAGTAGGGAAAAAGTAAGTTTACAATTGTGAGTACTCAAAACAGAGTTTAATTTTGTATTATTATTTATTAATTATTGTATTACTAGAGGCCTGTTGCAGGAAGATTCCTGCAATAGGGCTTCCTGCTGTGGTTGCTGCCCCACCTGCTTCCCTCCCTTCTCCCTACCCCACTTGCTTGCTTTTCCCCAGCTTTGCTCCCTTCTGCAATGCTTGTCTTCTTTCTACACTATCTTCAGTCTTTGCTCTGGCCTGGATATGCAAATTAACCATAATCTTGATTTGGGTTAATTTGCATACTCACCCTGATTGGGTTGTGGGCGGGGCTTCTGGGTGTAGTGAAGGTGCAGTCAATTTGCATGTTTCTCTTTTATTAGGTAGGGTGTTTTTGTTTGTTTGTTTGTGTTTTTTATCAAACTGTAACCTTACTTTTGTCCCACCCCATATTTATATTATACCTCAAAGACAGCAAATTTGGATTTTGTGAAGTCACAATGTGGGTGGGTAGAGTAGAAGTAGGCAGAGGTATCACATGGAAGTGCTCAGCTATTCTGTGGCCTTGGTGTGGTCTGCACTCACTAAAGACTCATTGAGCCCAGGAATGTAGGGATGGGAACCATGTGGCTCAGAGCCGAAAGGCAGGTTTGAGCAGAACAAATCAAACTATGCAAATCCAGCTTGCCCCCCACCTATCTTCATTTATAAATAATGGGAGACTGTGACTTGCTTTCCTTACCTGGCTTTTTTTTCTTCTCCCTGCGGCTTCAGGTCTCATCATCCACGAGGGACCCTCCGTGTACCGCATCTTTAAACGGTGGCAGGCTGTCAACCAGCAGTGGAAAGTGCTGAACTATGACAAGACAAAAGACCTGGAGGATCAAAAGTCAGGAGGCAGGACAAATCCTCGGACCTCCTCATCCACCCAGGCCAATGGCCTCTCCTCAGAAGAGGAGGCTGTGGACACCCCTGCCCCCGAGGAAGGCCCTGCCCGGGCAGCCAGCCAGCCCTCAGGCCCTCCCTCTGATCACCACTGTGCTTACACCATCCTGCACATCTTGAGTCACCTAAGACCTCACGAACAGCGGAGCCCCCAGGGTGGTAGCCGAGAGCTCGTCATGAGGGTCACAACAGTGTGAAGGAATGCCTGGAAGGGCGGCCGTGACCATGCACAACAGCAGAGGGTGGGCTGGGAAGGGGCTGGGCCCAAAGGGATGTTGGTCTGGGGAGCAGGTGTGGGGGGCCAGGTGGCTCCCCAGGTGCCAGAGCAGAGGGCAGGCAGAGGGTGGGGGGCCATGTGGGGTCTGGGGTCAGGTTTAGAACTGCAGTGAGTGATGCTGGTGTGGTTTTGTGGTTTCCGATCAGTCAATACCATTCTCCAACAAGAACAAGGAAAACCAATACAAACTCAACATCGAAGTGCAATAGAGACTGAACCCAACAAAATGCTACGACAACACTGGCCACATGTACCCGTGTTCAAATACCGGGGGAAGTGGATGCTGCAGCCAGGCTGGGGGTGGTGCCCACTTGTGCACGTGTGGAAGGAGAAGCAATGCAAGGCACAGAAGGAAAAGCACCTGCAGCCTGCCCTGCTTTACCCTTGAGTTTATTTTGGTTCCTCTCTGGGCCTGACCCACTGGCTGTGGGGGGAGGAAGAGGTACAGGTGAGGACTGGCAGGGATGATATTCAGCTTTTGCAGCCCCTGAGCTCACTGGGATGGGCAGGATTTCTAACTCAGATGGCTTTAGTGACTCTGGGTGGACCGTGTAGGGAGGGAGGTGTTGGTGCGAGCGGCCAGAGGGAGGGGGAGATTTTCCTCTTTTCCACACCTTCCAAAGTGGAACTCTCAATTTCAGATGGGCTCAACGAGGGTTTAAGTTTGGAGTCGGATGTCGTTTTGTGCCCTTGTTACTTTATTTTATGGTGATTTGGCTCAAAGATGTTTACAGGACACAAACACACACACACACACACACACACACACACACACACACACACACACACACACCTAGAGAAAAGTAAAGATTTCCCATGGGCATCTCAAGCACAGTCCTGCTGCTGTGGCTTCAGCCTTCAAACCTGTCAATCCAGAAGTGACTTCCTCTGCTGCCCGCCCACCCATGGCCCTCTCTGCTGGGCACATGCTAAAAGCTGCTACAGCGAGTGGGAGAGAGTTGGCTAGATGTATCCCAGCCAGCGGAGTGGAGGAAGACCCGTCTAAGTATTCCTTGCTGCTGGGGACCCTCCCCGAGGGCAGTTTGTCTAAGCCCTCAGTGCTAGTGCTCCCTGGTCCTTCCCAAGCACCAAGGCTGGTCCAGGGACCCTGGCAGGGAGCACTGTCCCTTGAGCCTACACACTGGTTCCTGGGATCCTGCCAGGGAAGGCCACTGGGTGGCCACCTGCAGAGTTTCTTGTTGTCATTGCACAATGGCTGCATCATCCATGGGTATTCAAGGGACACTGTCAAATACTTTTTTAAACCAGTTTTTAGGGTTTTTTAAAACTCTCTGTTGTTTGTATTATTCTCTTAAAAGCTTGAAAAATAAAATTTCTTTCCCTACCACTAGTGTCCTTTTCCATATGTGAGCTTTCCTTCCTCTTCTCACTTTTCCCTCTGTGGGAATCCTGCCTCCCTCTATTTACCTGTGTCTTCTTCACCCCTAAGTCTCCTCATAGCAAGAAATCAAGAGTGTTTTTATTTCTGCTTTGAAGGTACAGATGGGGTATGGCAGGGTGTGTGTGTGTGTGTGTATGAAGCCCTGGCCACTTCTTGACTTCTTTGCAGATGGGAGTCTTTCAAGTCAAAAAGAACAACTCCTAAACCGTACCCTGCCTTCTGCCCAGGAAATCTGAAAGCAGACATGGTTGAGAGGAAATCTGGAGAGCTTCCACCCCATCAGGTCATTTCACAGAAGAGAACCTCAGGAAGGATGGATGTGTCCTGACATCATTTCCCAGACTTCCTCTGACTATCAGAGGGTCCCAGGAGAAGGCTTGGCCGTGTGAGGTAGCAGACAAGATCTTCCTCCCTTTCACCTGACTGGGGCCTCCATCCTCAGGACCAGAGCTGGTTGAGTGATGTCATCAGTAGGATGTGTATTGGGTAGGGAGTCTCCTCACCTGATAGACATAACAGTTGGTGAGGGACCAAAGGATCCCCACAAGCAAAACATAGAAACAAGTAAAACCCAACAAAACCGTACAAATATTTCCTGTGGAGTAAAGGTATGTATTTTTCTGTGTGGTCTCAGAACAGGCCATTCAGGTCAAGTAAATATTTATGGAAGCCCTAGGCGGTTTGTTTCAGTGGAGAGAACATTGGATCATGGACTGAAGGGTCCTGGGTTTGATTCTGGTCAAGGGCATGTACCTTGGTTGCAAGCTTGATCTCCAGCCCCTGGTCTGGCCCATGTGGGAGGCAACCAATTGATGTGTCTCTCTCACATCAATATTTCTCTCTCTCTCTCTCTCTCTCTCTCTCTCTCTCTCTCTCTCTCTCTCTCTCTCCTCCTCCTCCTCCTCCTCCTCCTCCTCCTCCTCCTCCTCCTCCCCCTCCTCCTTCTCCTCTTCTCCCTTCCACTCTCTTTAAAAAATCAATGGAAAAATATTCTCAGGTGAGGATTAACAAAAAATACATATTTATGGAAAGTATAAATGGACTTTCTATTATCTACTTACATGGACTATCTATTATCAGAAAAAGTATTAGGATGCAAACTTCACCACAACTGTAATGGACATCCCTTGTCTTTGTTGACACAAGGTAACTTTCAGAATCTCGTAGTTGTGCAGGGTCATGCTACTGAAAAAGAGCATTGGATTAATGACAAATTCTCATAGAATGCTAGCATGTATTGGATCTTGATGATGGAAGCTCTAAGACCTCAAAGACCTGTCTGTTTTGTTTGTTACTATATATTCAGGATGCACCTGGGTCAGTGCATGGCATATTGTAGTTCTCAACAAATAGTTTTGGATGAATAAGAGACTCCTGGAAGAGGACCCGACTGTCTTCAGCATGCAGGAGACATACTTCCGTTGCTTCCCACTTATACCCCAGCTTTCAAGTTCAATCATAGCTCAGAAAGGAAAATCCACTGTTGACTCCACACAAGATGATAGCTTCCTTGTGCCTTGGGAAATGGAACATATGGGCCCCAAAATGAATAGAATGGGTTTTTCTATGCATCTTTGTGGGCCAGAGACCACTTTCCTCTTCCAGACATGCAAATCATCCTTCATTCCACCAGACAAATATCCTGGCTTCCTGTGGTGTTATCTGATGCAGAGCAATAAGAAGTGGCCAGAGAATTCACTTGTCACATGCATGTGCCCTCCACAAGTATGGCACATGCATGGGGCAAGATGCTAACTGACACTTAAAACTCTTTTATTACTCGACACCAAATTAAGTACTTTATATGTATCAACATTTTTAGTATTCCCACAAATGATGATGCAGTTGTCCTTATTACCTTCATCTTGCAGATATGGACACTGAGACAAAGAGGTTAAGGCTAAGCCCATTGACAGCAGCCAGGAACTCATCCCAGGCCACCCAGGCTTGACTGTAACCACTCTGCTCCGCTCCTGCTGGACACCTGGCACTCATTTCAGGGAAACCTGGGTCAGGATAATGCAGGGAGCTCATCATGGCAGAGATCTATAGAAAAAACAATGTGGGAAATTTGTAGAAACTGCAGCTGAATAATTATAAACTATTTCTGTTCCCTACCAAAAATTAGTTTACCTAGAAATTGATTTTTGATGTCCAGATAATATCCTGGCTGAATGAAAGCCTGTACAATAGAAAGTTGTCTATTTCTGAACATGGAAGATTTCAGAAAAGACACAGGACTTACTACAACCAAATTTTATAAAGGGCCAGGTTCTATAGGGACCACAGAGTCTTCTCCTTCTAGAAAAAGAAAAAAGAAAAAAAAAGTAAAAGTTTACCCTATTTATTAGGACTAGACTATTGGCCCTAGTTCCCAGTGAGTTGTGCAGAGTGGGGGTTCTAGTCACAGCCCACAAAACTTAGGATGACCCCACAGTTCTGAAGCCTTGTCCCTATCTTTTGGGAGAATCGAATCTGTGACATCTTACTAAGATGAATAAGACTTAGAGCATAAAACCATCAAAATCCTGGAACTTTTATGAGATAATTTACTATTTATTTTACGTATGAGATCCAACATGTACAAAAGAGGACAGGGGCATGGTCTGGACACAATAATAACCACTTCCTAAGAGTCATGATGTGCTTTGTAAGCAGTTCATTGTGTTGTGGGGGTGAGAGAAAGGAGGGACAGGACACATTATGCACTCGTCCTCATCACCGTTTTTCAAATTACCTGTTTATCCATGAATAATAAGCAACCAAGGATAACTTTTGCCTGTAAGAGTCTGATCCTGTTGCAGTATTGCAAGGGTCTGAAGCCTTCTTCCCCACATCTCCATCCACCCCTATTGAAAAAAAGGCATATGGAAACTGGGAAGCTTGGGGTGCTATAGACAATTGGGTGACACTTTAAGACAACTCTAAGTGGTGAGGATCTAGGGCTGGCTTCAGCTCCGATCTGAGCCTGGGGTCTGGGCCTCATTGGGTTGTTGGCCAGCTTGTTGGCCAAGCATCCACTTGTCCTTCCTCATGCTGCCTCTTTCCCGCTCTAGCATGTCTTATCTACTCCTCACCCAGCCCATCTTGGGGACAAGATTCCACTAGGCAAAGGCTTTCCCCTTGCCTCTGCTCAACCTGATGAGAAGTGAAGCCCTCAGCACCCACTTGGACTCCTGCCACCCAACGGATTCCACCCAACTGATTCGAGCTACTTTTTTCTGGGACAGGGTGAGGTTAAGGGAATGTGCAGTGAAAATATCTGTTTGTGTGGTTAGAATTTTAATAATCAGAGTGAATTCATGTAATATTTATGTAATTAACAAAACTGTGGTACATATCGAGTGGTACATTGAGGAACCATTGAAAACAATGATTAAAAGCTCTTTACTTGAAGGAGGTCCTCGCTCACTTTTCCTAAGAACTTTTCTTTGAATGAGGGGCAGCCCTGCAGGGCTGGAGGACTACTATGGCCTTCCCGTTTCTGTGTTCCCGTGATAAGATGAACTTGAGAGTTTATTTGCTGATCTACCAGAGGGAGGGCAAGGGCAGGGATGAAGCTCTCAAGTTGT